TGACGAGAGGCAGTACCACACATAATTATTACACATTCTCGTGCTAAGAGAGTGGTTATGTTTTATTACTATTTCGAGATTGAGGTCAATATCTCAGTGCACCTTTCTCACTAACAAACAAATTGACACGCTTGAAACCATCCGGGTGCAGTAACAACCATCGATTTGAAGGTTGCCAATTGACGGGTAACGCAGAAGGCGCAATCAATTCAGTGTGTTTGTATGGAGTGGTAGGCAGGCAGCTGCAATGGCTCCTTACTCCAGCTCAGCTGGGATCCGAACCAATTGTGGTGGGACGCTTAAAGGCACCTTCTCTCGCCTCCGGTCTTTGTCATGTCATGCAGTCCAGGTGGGAGGTGGAGAGAGACAGAGAACGCGGTGGCTGCCACGCAAGTCTACTACCACCTAAAACTAATCCACGCGTAAGTCACTGCGTTTACCTTCAGCTTGCTGAATAGGGGGTCATGTGCTTTGTCATTGGTTCCTGGGCGAAGGTGCTTGCAGGTTTAGCGCTTTTGTACTTAGCCCCTCTCATAAGTGACCGCCGACCGCCGGTCATTAGGTAGCAGTGGTATACAAAACGAAACGTCTGTATTTCTCGTCCAGGGAGCTGTCTTCTAAATTCAAATTGTTTTCACGAAATGCTGACTCCTGACTGGCGAAAGGCGACTTAAAGATGTGAATAAGATAAAGGCGGGTAAATTCAATACCATGTCACAAGCTAAATGTGTTTAAGATGATAGAAAATATTTCTTATTTGACCCGAGGCATGAAGATGAGCAACATGTCCGATAATGAGCCAGAAATGGTCATTCCAGTCTCCTTATTCTTTGTCGGTAATGTTCTCCTGCCCCCTGCTCTACTAGCCGTTGTGTGACTGCTGGCGGCGCGGGTGAAAGTGAGCTTCAACGCAGACCGGGAGGAGTGAGTTCCGTTAGCAATTGGTGAGAATTCATCAACGAATGAGCTACATTTGTCAGCCTACACGGACATAATCAAAATGAATTCACATAGGAAACCAAAGCCATGAAGTCGGTCTCTCAGAGAATCCATATATTTTCTCCATCTTTCACATATGATAACGCGGATTAACAACTTGCTCGCGTTCTCTTACTGCATGAGATTCGTAAAATATCCTTCGTTTGTTCGTGATAACTTTATTAATCGAGATTGCTAGTGAGCCCGACATGATTTGAACACGCAACATTCTAAAAGACATCGTATCCCCCGCTCAAACCCTTATCAAGGCTGCACTGCGAATGACTGGGATGATGCCGGTGTCATGCTAACTGTTGTAAGCGAGTGTGTTCCTGTATCAACACTGGTTATGGTTTCCCAGTTACGTGTTAGGAAGAGAAGAGAGAACAGGATAACAGCTAGTACTTTACTGTCAGTTGTACAAGTACATCAACTCTGTTTCCGTGTGTCCAGCAGCTTGCCTTCTGTGGTCGGT